CTTCCTTCTCTAAATTCATGTATAGATGTTAGATAGATAGATGATAATGTAGTTGATAGATGGTTGATCGATGATAGAAGATAGATACATGATAGATGATATATAGGTAATAAATACATAGATCATAAATCAGATATATTTTTCTATATATATTCATATATATGATTATCCATAATTGTTGATATGTACACATATATATATATATATATATATATAGAGAGAGAGAGAGAGAGAGAGAGACAGACAGACAGACAGACAGAAAGTATCTGACTCCTTGTGGCCCTGAATGACCTAAACTCATCATGCTATTCTATAATTCATATAAATCTAGCTGTCTTTGGCCCAAAAATGCAGAAATTAAAGGCATGCACCATCATGCTCAGTCCATTTGTTTACATACACATATATACGTTTATATTATAGTAATTGATTATCTAACATCGTCTTCTATCTACACGATGGGCTTCCTGGGACCATGCATTAGATCAGAGCTTTCCACCCAGCAACCCATTGTCAATGGGAGTTTGTGGGAGATTTTAGGAGTAGCTTCATGCCTGGAATAATCAGTCAGTGGGAAGTCGACTCTCTAGGTGGTGGTGAGATGAGTGTGAGTCCAGGAGTGTGCACATGCACTCATAGGGGTTGTGTCCAGGAGTGTGCACATGCACACATAGGGGTTGTGTCCAGGAGTGTGCACATGCACACATAGGGGTCGTGTTCAGGAGTGTGCACATGCACGCATAGGGGTCGTGTTCAGGAGTGTGCACATGCACGCATAGGGGTTGTGTCCAGGAGTGTGCGCATGCACACATAGGGGTTGTGTCCAGGAGTGTGCACATGCACACATAGGGGTTGTGTTCAGGAGAGAAGCATGAGCAGTCTCCCAGGAGTCTGTAACCCCAGAGAAAGCAAGCACAGTATAATGCTCAGGAAAAGAATAAAAGTGAAAAAGTTAGCCAAAGAAAGTGCTGTATGGATTTAAGGGAAGGCCTATGAGGGAAGGCCTATGTGAGGATCATTACTGCCCCGACACTGCTCTGCTTGATAGGGTAGATGATAAGGGGTAAGGATGCAAAACAAGCCGAGGAGGTGTCACGATAATGTTCTTGCTCTTTTAAAAGATGTTTAAGGAATAAATGCACAAAATAGGCATTAAGATGGTTTTCAAAGTTCTTTTTCTGTGTTTGTTGGTGAGTTTACAGGCCTGCTCACTGCTAGTTTGGCCGTGTTCTGTTTTTGTATTTGTTGGTGAGTTTTAGGGGTCTCCTTACTGCTAGCTTGGCCGTGTTCTGTTTTTGTATTTGCTGGTGAGTTTTACAGGCCTGCTCATTGCTAGTTTGGCCGTGTTCTGTTTCTGTGTTTGTTGGTGAGTTTACAGGCCTGCTCATTGCTAGCTTGGCCGTGTTTAGCGGAACACCTCTTCATCTCTCCGTCATCCCCAACGCTGCTGCTGTTGTAACCCCACAGCTGATAGACTGGTTTTGATGAAACTTGAATCCATCATCAATCAGGCCTCTGTTGCTTCTTTTGTGCTTAAAGTTTTAGTTTACTGAAACAAGAGGGACAGCTAGGATTTGTAGGTAGCTTTGAAAATACAGCTAATCTATTATTTTTACTCTAATCCACTAGTTAGGGGGAAATGAAGCTGAGTTCATATCTTTGTTTAAGTGTTAAAGGTTCTTTTCAATTTCATTGGCTGGAAGGATGGACAAGATTTGCAACTCTGGACTGCTTTAACTGATTTGGAAACATTTTTCTCATACAGAAGGTGAACATATTAGAGGAAATTTCTCATTTTCATAATTACTAGGAAGAAGACGGTCTACCTTGATCCCATATGATAGACAAGCAATTATTTTATTTTTATTTTTCAGAAAAAAAGCATGTTATCACTAAGGTCAGATGCAAGGGTTCTGAAGCTCACTAGGTTTTCTCATTATTCAATGTTCCTATGACCCCAGTAATTTTCTCCTATCTGCATTTCTTTGTTTCTCTATTAACTGGAAATCATAATTAGTCCTACCATAAAAATTAAATTTAGGCCTATAAGACTCTTTAAAATGCTCGAAATAAGCTATCCAGTTATTATTATAGTTTAATAAATGAGATATAAATATAATGTTGTTTTACTGCCGTGTTTGAATTTCCTTTTCATACATAGAAGTAAAACTTAAGTAAGGTAATGCATCTTGTAAGACCGAACCTCAGGATAAAGTGCTGTTTGGATGTGGTTGAATTTTATTAATGCAATTCTTTTCTCAAATGAAATAACACTTTCTCATTATCTGAATTAACGTTTAAATACCCGACACAGTACTTTCCTCCGAGTATTTATAGTGAAATGCTCTCTCTAGGAAGAGTGAAACATGTTTTTGCAAGGTGCTTCAGTGAGGGGCCCGTGTTGAGCGCACCATCCTTACTCTCTTGTTTGCAGAGGCGACACGCAGAATAAGTCAGAGAAATCTGCTGGAGGACAGCAAAGGCAGGGACCTCAAAAAGCACTCGGAGATTCACTCACTCAGATGCCAACCTCGCATTTGTGTGCTTTTGTCTGCAAGGTCCTGAGACTTAGCCTCAAATTTTTAGGAGTAGATTAGACTCATTCGGCTCTCTTGGCCCTTTTGTGCTTCTCAAAGCAGAGTACCTGGGTTTCATCTGCCATCAGAGTGACAAGAAACATGTAGCCATGTTTTACATAGGACAAAAACAATCTCAGGAAGAAACTGGGGCTAAGGCACTCGTGACTGGAGGCTCAGCCGGCTCTCCCCAGCAAGATGTTCATCATGCAAATGAACAATGGCGTCCCAGACTGAAACAGCTGTCAGCCACCTATTAGAAGGATTAGCAGTGCAAAATGTCACCTGACAGGTGAAGTGGCAATAAGGTAGAGTCCCATGTGATGAAGCAGCAACAATGTTTAAGGGATTTCCTCTAAGTTCGTCCTGCCATGGTACCCTTTTGCACCTTGAGAACCCTTTGATACAGGTTATATGGTTCAAAACATCGCCTTCCGGTATATAAGGTGTGGGGACGCAAGGTGTATAAGATGGGGCCTTCGTTTGTAAGTAATTTCTGATCTTTTATACCCAGTGGCGTGGCAAGCAAGTGTGGGAGCCTTCCTCTCTCAGGATGACCCGTCACACACAGGCACGCGGTCCTCAGTTAGCTGCAGTGTTCTTTCTCGAGCTCTCCAGGCTTTAATGGGAGGACCAGGTACACAGAGGTGTGCTTGGGGTGAAGCCTCAGTTGAGGTGCGTTTACTTTGGCCGTGGAGGAAAATGAAATGAGTCTTTGGTGAGCAATGAATATAAACGCTCCCTGCTGCACCCTGTGTTGTAGATGCTGTGTACCGTGGGCTGTTCATGAGAAGCATTCTTATTAGTTTACTGAACGAAGCGTGCAGTGCCCCGACTCCGGGGAGCCTATGTGTGCTGTTTCTGTGTGTGCTTATATTTATGTAGAGTGTTAAGTAAATAACTCCAAAAGTAGGCATGCATTTTTCCCTCCTAGCGCTTGTAATTACTGCATAATGTAGGTTGTATCCTAAACCCATACATTGGAAACTTATTCACTGGAAGTATCAGAGGTATGTTCTGTGATGGGGAGAAAGGAAGTTCCTCGGGATTAAGCTATTTGGGATTTTGGATTGTAGTTTAAAAGACTCTGTTAGCTCACTTTTCTTCCTTCCCGTCTCCTTCCTTGTCCTGTTTCCTCCGCATGCCTTAGCCTATCCAGCAGACGTATTTCTCCTACAGCTGATGTCCCTGTACCCACTAACATCTGTTAGTTCAAATCGTATTAACATACAGTGACTATTTTGATCAGTATCTCCAAGGCTCGAGATGACAAGATTTTAGCCAAGCAATTTATTATACTTAAGCTAGCCAATATTAGCCCTAATTTGAAGAGAATGAGACTTTAGTGTCTTTTGTTGTATTTCCAATGTCAGATATGAACTCTCACACAGAAAAGGAAGGCATCCACAGGTATAGTGTGTGATATAGGTTTCATTGACTCACCCTTGATTGTGTGTTAAAGGAGACCTTCCGTACTATACAAAGGAGACATGTAATCAAAGTGAAACACACAGGGCTCTGATGACACAATTTTGCTCATAATAGCGCTCTATTTTGTGGGGACTTAAAAAACTATGGACATAAGCGATGACCCCAGGGAAAACCCTGAAGTAAGAAAACTGTTTATCCTGCCAGCTTCTTGCTTTTTAAAAATGCCTGAAATATCTTTGGCACAAAATATACCCTGTACGTTACAAATGTCACAAATTTGTGGTTGAAATTTGGGAGAAAAGAGATAAGAGAAGACAGAAGCACAAGGTTTTTGAACAAAGAATAGAGTCCCTCATGGGCAGATTATTACAAAGAAGCAAAACTTCAGGGAACTGGTTAACGGGGTGAAGCACAGAGGAGGGCCAGAAAGCAGGCTTCAAGCCAGGGGTGGCGGGAGGAAGGCTCCAGCAGACGCAGAGACAATCTTACAGTGTTCCTGCCCAGTGTCCAATCTCCGGGCTTTCATAAAAGACTAAGAAGGGTACCAAGGGAGAGCCTGTGCCATTTAGGGGGCAATGAAGAGGAGTCAGCTGAGGATGAAGAGAGCGTACAGGTATATATGATTTGTTCAAACATTACAGCATCACCAGGAAGTTGAATACAGTTGATAATTGTCTAATAGCCGTACTAACCGCCGAGACCATCAGACAAGAGCCAGGACAGTAGACCTACACTGCCATTGAGTTTAAGAACTTGCTACCTCACTTTGTGGCAAGGGGCCCCCTAGTTTGTTTTTGCCTGTAAAGCAACCAGTGACTCATTCTTGAGCCGTCTTGCAAAGTGAAGGCAAATGCTTTTGAAATGTTCTTTTGCTCCTTGCTTTTCCAGAGTGACAGGTCACATTTTTACATGGAATAAGCCACACAGCTCCTTATCCCCCAAGAAACCTTACCGGATCTTAACTACCCACCCCCTCTCCGCTTTCTCTTCCAGGAAGTCGATGGCAATAAAGTTATGTCTTCATTAGCCCCTTACAACTCATCTACCTCACCTCAGAAGGCAGAAGAAGGTGGGCGACAGAGTGGCGAGTCCGTGTCTGGCACAGCCCTGGGGACTCCGGAGCGGCGCAAGGGCAGCTTGGCAGACGTGGTGGACACCTTAAAGCAGAGGAAGATGGAAGAGCTGATCAAGAATGAGCCAGAAGGTAAAGGCTGGAAGAGGAAACTGGGCCGTGCCCTTCCTGGTTTAAGGAGTTTATTTAGTTTCTAGTTCTGATGTTTGGTTTAGATTCTTAAACTGGACAAAATAGAAGCCTATTGCTATGAAGAGTCTTCCTTCCTTCCTTCCTTCCTTCCTTCCTTCCTTCCTTCCTTCCTTCCTTCCTTCCTTCCTTCCTTCCTTCCTGTCTTTCCTTCCTTTTTTCTTTCTTTTCTTCCTTCTTTCTTTTCCTTACTTCCTTTCTTTTATACTTCTTTCCTTCTTTCCTTCCCTCTTTATCTCCCTCCCTTCTCTCTCCCTCTCCCTCTGTCCCTGTCTCTTTCTTTTTCTTCTCAGAGGTACTAAGAAGCTTTTAAATCATGAATTCATGTTGCGGTGTGAGCCTTATTTTATGCATGAGTAATTTATCCTTGAGTGAAACTTAAAGGTTCAAGAATAGAATGTCTCAGCATTGCCCAGAAGACCCGCCTACTTGTCACTTTTCTGCAGCCTGCACCGTGTATCTCTAGTAAAATTTCCCCCCTCAAGAACCATTTTAGAACTGTGTTACATTTGTAACCTTTAAACATCACTATAGCTTATCCCACCTTGATCTTGGGGCCACCCCTTATGAAGTCCATAAAAATGTGATTATAGTTACTTAAAAGTAGCCCTACTTAGCCTCCTATTTTGGGGTTTTTGAATTCTTTCTGTTTGGGTTCTAGTTCTAAGACTCTTTCACAGTTACTGATAGCAGGCTGAACTTGATATGCATACGTGCAAGGGTTTATCATAAAAATAAAGCAAATCAAGAGAAAAACTTTGCTAACCTGCCAAAGGTTATATCCAGATGGTAACTTGTTCCAATTTGACCCTGGCGAAGTCTGGGGCACAGAAGTCACTCAGCACACAAGAGTGGCTCTCTTCCTCAGCTTCAAGTTCCAAGTGAGCAAACCAAGAGACACAGTGGAGAAAAGATGGACTTGGGATGTAAATCGTGTCCGATGTACAATGTGTGATAGTCAATACGTTTTCAGGTCTCTGGGAGCATTGTGGCTGAGTATATGGGAAGGTGTTGCTTGACTTTATAAGGAACTGCTTAACTGTCTGCAAAGTGTCCACAAAATCACAAAATTCTCCTTCCTGCCATCACTAAAGGGAGGTTCCTGTCTGTTAACACCATTCCAAGTCTTTGACATTGTTCTAGTTGGGGATTTTGTTCATTCAAATAGCTATGCTACAATCTCGTTTTTTTTTTTTTTTTCGGTTCTCCAACAGCTATCACCGTTTAGATCTCTTCATATATTTATTTTCTGTCTCTGTGTCCTTGGGGGCGTGTCTTTTTAAGCACTTTTGTATGTTTATTGAATCATTTTGATACAGATAATTTTCAAGAGATATTTATATATTTTGGATACCCGTTTTGAATCAGAAATGTATTGGCAAACCTCTCCTTCGAGTCTATGGTTAGTGTTTTCATTTTTGGTATTTTCTTTTGCAGAAAAAAATTAATTTAAGTGGCTTCTGAGTTGTCATTTTGTTCATGAATTTTACTTTTAGTTTGTGTAAGGGATCACAGAGAGCCTAGAACATTTTTCTTACACTATAACTCACACCTTTATAATTTTGCATTATGTACTTTAGGTCTGGGAACCCTTCTGAGTTAAGCTTCTAAATGTTAGGTTTTATGTCTGACTCCTTTAACTTTTGTGTAATCAGAGTGTCTAGTTGGTCAGCACTATTTACTGAAAGGTGGTCCTTGTCTGCTGAATGCCTTTGCCCTTTGTGAAGGTGGTCGACTGAGCTGCTGTGTGTTTATTTCTGTCCTCTGTGTTTGAGTCCATCAAATAATTAGAATTTCCTTTCCATAATACCACACTGTCTTAATGACCATAACTCACATAACATGAAGTCTTGCTTTGGGTAGTGTCGGTCTTCCGGTTTTCATCCTTTTCTTGGGAATTTTATGGCTTGGTCTGAGTCTATTTTTGTTCTCCACAAACTCTGAAACCAGTTTTCATATATCCCATGAATAATGTGAATTTGACTGAGAATGAATTGTGCCTCTAGATCTCAGTGTGAAAAAGCCATATCTTAAAAACATTGACTGTTCTCACCCAAAACTCTCTTTCAGTTATTAAGATCTCAGGTCTTACAGTTTCCAGATACATGCCTTAGATATATTTTACTAGATTTATGCTCATGTATTACTCTTTATATAAGAAGAAGAATAACTAATAACCATGCTATGATTGATTTAAAATTTCAGCTGCTAGCTGATGGGGTATAGAAAGTCCATGAGCTGTCCTTGGGCCCTACGGCCTCAGAGCCAGTTCTCGCAGTTTTTGTTCACTCTGCCCACACGGACAAACATTTCACTCGCAAACTGACTCCATTTGTTTCATCCCCCAATACAGCTTTTAGTAGTTTTCCTTCTTCTTACATGTCAGACCTTGTAGTAGGATATCAATTCAGAGTGGGAGGAGGTGATTGCTGAGTTCTTGATTCTAAGAGCCAGGCTTCCTGACCCAGCCCAAAGCAGGATGTTTGTGGTAGGATTTCACAAGTGATGCCGTCAGGATCTACTTTTCTCTTTTCCATGGTTTCCCTAGGAGTTTAAATTTTTACCTGTTAATATAACATACACACAATCATTGATCTTTAAGTTCCCAGGAAACTGTCAAACATTGAACCTCCTAGCAAACTTGCCATAAATCTCCCTGGGCCACGGTTAGGTCTGTTGATCCCTTTTGAGATTCGACTTGCTCAGACTTTGTGAAAATGTTTGCCTTCAGGACCATGGGCTCCATTAGTTGATAATTTGTTTACATCTGTGCATCTCTGATTTCGATACACACTTCAGAGAAGGAGCTGGACAGTGTTTGCCTTGTGTGCTAATTTAAAATCACAGTTTTTGATATAATCTGAATGTAAAGATAAGGGCTAAGGAGTCCCAGTTTGTTCTGTGCATTCTATCTGCACAAGTTTGAAGGGGCATCTTAAGATGATACTATTAAAGGGAGTTTTGTGTATGACATCGTCATTCCTCCACTGTGTTGGGTTGACTAACAATACATACATGAACTCTTAACTTTGCAGTAGAGGACAGGCCTAAACCCAATGCATAAATCTCTGTGGGAAGGATATCAGCAGAAGGTACCCAACGGTACTTGACAAAAGATACAGGGGACTACTGATCACTGCAGGAACTGCTGAATTACCAGGAGCAGCTACCTGGGCAGAAGAGCAAAGATGGATGTTCCTACGGGAAGGGTTGGCACAAGGAAACAGCATTACTGCATATGAAGTTAAGAAGACTTTCCTTGCTGTCTCTATCAGTAATGTACTTTAGTGTATTTTTTTCCTCTTAAAATACTTAAATGCTCAAAAAAGAAGTAATGTGTTGATAAATAAGATTGTGAGAATTTAAATTGAATAAGGCAAGAATTGAAAAGTCCAAGTTTGGGCTAGAATGGTGACTCAGTTGGTAAGAGCACTTGCTATGTAGATGTGGGAACCTACCACCTGATTTTACTACTGCCACTGGTCAGGTGTGGCCACATGTATGCCTATAACCCCAGTACAGTAGGGGGCAGACAAAGAAGATCCCTGGGGCTTGGTGGCCACCAGGCTAACTTCTGTCTCAAGGGAATTAGGACAGAGAGTGGAAGACTGTAGGTGTCCTCTTTTGACATCTGTGCATGCATAGGCAAGCAAACTGTGTGTTTGTGTATACACCATACTCACACATGTACCACACTCACACATACACACCTATGCATACTGACACATACAGACATACACATATATAGACTCCTTCTGCCCTCTTGAGTTTCAGAAACAACGTCTCTATGACAGAGCATGGAGAAGCCTGTACACCCCCACATGCAGATTTCTTGAACCTGCTTTGGATCTCCAGAGCCGTAGACATACTCTGATTATTTGCCCTTTTAACAATGTATATGCATTTTTAAATACTTCCTTTGTTATTTTGAGACATGGTCTCATAGAGTAGTCTACATTTGCCTAGGGTCAGTATGCAGCCTAGGCTGGGCTCAGACTCACGATGCTCCTCCTGCCTCAGTGTCCCGAATGCTGGGATGGCAGGCATGAGCCTCCATGACTCTTTCGAGAATGCACATCCGTGATGAAAACAATCAACAGACTTATTGGAAAGTAAAGTATATCCGAGAGAGCCATGCTCTTATTCAGGAAGAAATGATATGACTTTCAAAGAGAAAAGTATAAGGAATTATATCTTAGGAGATTGTAGGTCTCCCGGCAAGTTGACGCTCTGTTTGCCATTGGGACATCCCTGATCAGAGGATACTGGACGTGTCTGACCCCTCATACATGTCTTCTCACCCACGCACAAGGGACCGCAATGATGGGTAGAGCGCACACACGTGAAGGGAGGGTCTCACGGTACCTAGCACCAAAGAGATAAAACTAATTCAGTCCGAAGGGAAGAACGTAGCATGTGTTGGTTGGAAAATAACAAGCCGTTGTCGTGGTTCCATGGAGGGAGAAAGCCCTGGGAAAGAGTGGGGAGCAGACAGGGAACGGCCCTAAGTGCACGAGTAGAGGTTGTCTCTCCTCCAGATATTCGCCCATTGTTTCTCAGAGGCCGTTAAAATGAGCAGCAGGTTGTGATGAAAATTTCATTAAGCCCAGTGAAATCATTATGAGAGGCCATGTTCACATCTTGGCTTCCTCTCATGGGGTGGGGGTGGGGGTAGGGGAACAGATTTCATCAGAAAGACCACATTATCTTCAGCCTCCCCCTGCCAAGAGCAAGCCAACAGGGATGGGGGCCTGAGGAGAGGAGGCCCAGGAGGTGAGACTCCCAGCCAGGGAGCAGAGGGGACTGTGGTGGAGGAAATAATACCTCTTGTCTGCTCTAGCCTGGGCTTCTCCCACATGATGGATTCAAAGATTTTCAAATGAATTTTAGGAAAAAAAAACTATAATATTAAACTAGGGTTGCATTTTCACTCTTTCAAAATT